TCTGCAACTGGCCCGTGGCTGCACACAACTTACACATGGCCCACATACCGCAAAGAATGACGGCCATTTGGTGGCCCGGTTCAGGTTTGCCAGAGATGATCCACATATGGGCCAGCACAGGGCCACCAGTGTGTCTACAACTAGCCTTGTGCTGGCCCATGTGTGGGCAGCGCTCGCTCCTGCTTCCTGTCAGTCAACTCAAATCAATTCTAACTCACCCTGTTCCTGGCTTTGTTCACCAAATCAAAAAGCTGGTTCTCTCCTGATGGATAATCAGCCCCCTATGTTTACCATAGACACCTGTTTCTCTCAGCTACTGGTGTCTGTGAAAGTAAACTGCTGATAAGTTTGTCAATTCTTGTCTGTGTCTGGATTTTGATTCAGCCGTGACAACACATAAACAGAAAGATACAGGAGATACATCAATGCTGTTCATACTTTGTAAACAGGAAGAAAAAAAAACTGTCGTACCTTCAGCATTTACATCGAAGAGTGTACTGAGCACTGAAATCAAGATTGAAACATCATCAAAACAGCAGCAAATCAACTCACTATGAAGTAAAACATTTTTTAACCTATAGGACCTGGCGTCCACATATGTGGACATCACATTTTGGGTTATTTAGACCAAAATACTCAATTTTGCTCTACAAGGGCCTGATATTCACTTACGACATTATACTGCTACTGTTCTATCAAAATTTTAAACGAATATCCTCATAGGTGGCTCTTATTTTTATTAAAAACAAAAATAAGGCAAAAAAAAAAAATCTGTTAATTCTTTGTTTTTACATTCATCGGGCCCCAATGTAACCAAATATCAAAGAGAACTTTAAAATGCATGCTGTGGAAGAGTTCGGGTCTTAGGAGGTTAAAGTAAATTTTCAGATTGGAGACTCATCCTCAAATTTCTTTGCTTATATGCTCTAAACTAGTAATGTAAAACAGCAGTGTTTCCAACGCAATACCCTGCTTTAAATGGACACAAGGTAATACCATTCGAATTCTCAGAGACTTGTTAACCACCTCATACACTTTAATTTACACCAATATAGTTTCTTAAATTGGTCACAAGAGAAAGTCAGTGATGTACTTACAGAATAACTCCAGCATGCAGAGCAAAGAGCGCTTCATCCTCACATCCAGCTCTGCAGCTCTCTGATGCACAGCTAAGCTTTCAGTGTTTTACTTTCACAAATAAGCAGAAGAAAGAGATGCTGTGCTTAATATAGATGAGACCGTAACTTCTTCTTCTCAGTGGCTTCCATGCTTCCTTCCCTTTTACTCTGAGCTCAACCATCTGCTATAACTTCAACCGCATCAGTGTTTACGTTTCCTGTCCATTCAGAACATTCAAGCTTGTTCTCTGTGTTGTTCTCTCTCTGCGTTATAAAATAACAGTTCTGTTACTTCAAGTCAGGCAAAGCTTTCATTTAGGTTTAGTTTTACTTCTGTCTTCTTTAGAAACTCACTTTTTTCCCATACAAAAAAAGTCATACAACCCCATACATTTGGATTGCTATAATTCTGGAATATTTGTCTGGGTTTTTGAGACTGTCAGTGGCCGGATGGCAGCATATCATTTATTTCTGGCAGTCCTGAGCAGGTTCATGCAAAACATGCTGGGCCATAGTTAAGGTGAACAAACTTGCTTTGACATAATTAGACCAAAGAATATGCCTATAACAGGAAACAAGGTTAAGATACTCCCTTTTAAGTTGCAGGAAAAAAATAGACTTTTAGCTAGTTTTTTGTACTATTACAATGGAAAACATCCTTTCACTTCTGCTTTGATATGTAAATGTTTTCATCTTGTGATTGAATTTTGGTTAGAAGGTGGTTGTGACCGGATTATTTATGTGGCTGAACTGATGAAAATGAGATGCAGTTTTTACAAACCAGAGGAATAAATAAACCAACGCACAAATTCATTTTCTTGCTTGCTAAATTGCAACGGTACAGATGCACACAGACCTTATTTGGTGGGTAAATGTGCCAAATAAAATACCAAAACACACTAATCAATATCTTTGTGCCAAAAACTATATATTTCTTAACTGAAAACAAAGCATGGCACTCAGTAAAGTAAGCCATTGCCATGCTTCTTTGCTATTCTACCATGTACCATGTATTCACATGTTCCTTGTTTGCACTTCTAAGGTAGTTTCTAGTACCAGGTTCTCGACTCTAAAGCAGCCACCAAAAATCAGGATCTTATAGATCCAACACTATTAAAAGATTTGAACTTTATTAACAATTTATTGAATAGTATGTTTTTGAATTTTATAGCAGTACTAACTTTAAAAGTTGAAAGCATATTGAGAAATACACAAAGCAAAAACCATGTATTGCCTCATTATGCTAAATGGTTGACTGAATTTTCTGTTCCCCTTTACACAAAAAAAGATGTGATATGTCAGGGATAAGATGCCACCATATACTCACTAGAGGTTATGTGCGAGCAGACGACAAATGTGTTTAGTGCATGTGCAATCAGTTTTTATTTTGAATTATATAGCAGACATTATTAGTATTAGCCCTTATTTGGGGCGACCGTGGCTCAGGGGCTTGGGAAGGATATCTGTAACCGGAAGGTTGCCGGTTCGATCCCGGGGCTCTCTGTCCTAATCCTTGTGCAAGACACTTTACCCTACTGCCTACTGGTGTTGGGCCAATGGTGCGATATGGCAGCCTCGTTTCTGTCAGTCTGCCCCAGGGCAGCTGTGGCTACAACTGTAGCTGCCTCCACCAGTGTGTGAATGCGAGAGTTAATGAATAGTGGCATTGTAAAGCGCTTTGGGTGCCTTGAAAAGCGCTATATAAATCCAATCCATTATTATTATTATATATAGTAACTAAAGCGCATCATTTGCTAAATAAAACAGAAAAAAGGAAGTGGCTAGTCAGTAATTAATGTCTGCAGCAACGTGATGACAGATGAGAGTGGAGTTTTAAAAACTTGGTATCTTGAGTTCTGCCTATGATCTATCTCTGCTATCAGCTGTCAGGGCTCAATCGTGTTCTTTGGAAGGCTGTACAAATTCAGCTCAAACTGTTCTTCCTCTTTTTGGTTTAGTAGGCCAAAGAAAAAATGATAAAGTCACTGTGTTTTTTACTTAGCAGATACAGTTGCACTTGAATTTATTTTCACAGGCATAATAACTCTGTGAAAGGCCTGTACCAAATAAGCACATTCATTTATAAAATTCCTCAGCCAACAATTATGTTCAGTGGAATAAGTGGTAGCAAAGTTTCAGTCCGTGGTAGTTGGGTGTGGTTTGTGGTTCAGCTGCAGGGAAGGGGTGGTGCAGTGGGTTCAGGGGGGATGCCAGAGGAGGCTGACCAGCACAACTGCTAGGCATCCATTAATATTCTATCCTGTTTTACACAGTAGCAGGCCTGGAACTGATATGTGTGTGATTTCTGGAAGGAAACTGTCTGAGACTGTATGTGTGTACAGTGGGAGATGTGCTACAAACAGACTGATTATAATCACAAGCCAAAGAAAGCTTATTCACCACAACAGTAATTCATCACTCACTATAGCAGCTTAAATAAACTCAGAACTTTCTACTAACCACACACAAAGCCAGGCTGATGTGTGAGCTACGGCTGATAACAGACAGAGTACATGCTTACTGTATTGCTATGATGGTTTCTAGAGCATGTATGACTTTTGTTGCCATGGAAACCCTGGCAACCCTGGCCCATTGGCTCCAACAAGAGAGGGAGACTGACCGAGGTGATAACTAAGTAAGAATAGATTAATGGCAATATAAATAAAGAAAACATGTTTGCCAGCAGGTTAGTAGTGTAAAGTCTGTGGCAGAGTATGTGTGGCAGAGTGTAAAAATAGCAAAATAACTCAAGAAATCATGCTGCAGTTAAGCACGATCAAGTAAGGATGTGGATGCCAAAGTCAGGACAGAGAGAAGCCTTCATAGCCAAGCTCACTGGGTCCAGGTGCAGCTCATGCAGGTAGTTAGCCTCCAGCAGAACAAAGCACAGTACAAACAACATAAATCTAAGACTGAGGGCACAAAAGGCCAAGGGGTCATCACACTTCTAAGGCATGTGCTAAATTTAAGTGAATAAGGAGATTCAGTTTTACAGACTCATCTGCAAAAAAATTGTTGTTTAATTGTTTAAAGTGATATATTTCATTTAATTTTACTATGTTGTTCAAATATTTGTTATGATCTCTATGTCTTGGACACAGGGTTTAGATTTTCATAGGATTTTTATGGTTAATCTAGTTTTGTATTTTTTATAATCTTTGTATAATGGTACTATGTTCTGTATGATAGATATATTGATAGTCTTCAGTTTATAATGATAGTTGTTGTTTTTTTTTTGTTGTTTTTTTTTGGGGGGGGGGGTTGCTTTCCTTATGAGTTTGTTATCAGTGCCTTTAGTTCCTTGACTTCTTTATTTAAATGATTGTTTATCCCCTTTAGTATTCCCATTCTGTCCCTCCAGTCTTGTCTCCTTGTTTGTTTATCTTCTGTCTCTATTCCAAGCTTGTATGTCTTTTTCTGGTCTCATCTTATCTTCCTGTCTTATTTTGATCTCTTGTGTCCATAGTGCTTTGTGTTTAGTTAGATTGGTTTTAGCTGTCCTCCCACCTGTCTTCCTTGTCCTTTGCCATGTTCTCTTTCTCTGTCTCTTGTGTCTGTCCTTGTGTTTGTGTTTTGTTGCAAGAGGTGTAGTTTCAGATTATTTGGACCTGACCTGCTGTTTGTTGTATTTATTAAGGAGCTCAGCAATAAAGCTGTTTTTGACTTTTACTTCTTGTCTCCTTAGATATGCATTAAGGGAGAATATTTAGAGAATATTTAAGTGGCAGAGTTTCACCAACTTGCAACAAACTATATCTATAAAACGCAGAACCATTCCAGACTAATTTTTGTCAGCTTAAAATTGAAGACTGTGAATATATGATCATAAAAATACATAATGTCTAAATATTCACAAAGACTATAGAAACTGCATACAAGGACAAGACTGAAATCTGGCATGAAAATCACAGTATGATTGTATTAACAGGAAATTTTCCAGGTTAAAAGTAGAGACACTTCATATCAGATAGACTCAGTTTGCATTTCACTGTGGTGTTCTTTTTTGTCCTTTTCAAACTCAAATTCAAAATGACTTAAATGCTGTCTTGCTGGCATAATAATAGCTGAGCTATCTGACACAACCTGCAATCCAGCTGCCAGAAAGTAGGGGAGGGAGGGAAACATACAGATTTTCCAAAGACTGATTTTTGCTGTTGGTGATGTTTGAGTTTGTTTGTTGGCAACAATAGAAATGGGGAAATACATTTAAATGTAACCTGCTGTTTATGGTATATTATTTGTTGTTTATATACTGCCTATACAAGTTTAAATAGCTATTCAGCAGGGTGGCTTTGACATTTAAAGGTTTGAAAAAAACATGGGGAAAATATTGAAAAGACCAGATTTATTTTTATTTTTTTAAACAGACTCATACAGGCTGTTTCAGTGTGAGGAATTTCAGTCTTACGACATGTCACATTTTTTGTTGCTTTTTTTCCAACTTCCATGTCTCAGCACCACAATGACCACAATTATTTGTCATTGCTTTTCACAGTGTCTTGCATACTTAAATGTAACAGTGATAATTATCAAAGTGATTTTTCCACTGTGCTTTTTGTCTGGACTCCTTGTTTACTCTCTGCTATGTGCTGATACCATGAAAAAAGACATCTCATAAACAGAAGGCTTTTCGCTGAAACCACATGCTTAGTTTCCCCATTTTGGGGAAATCATGAGGCTTTTCAGTTGATAAAAATAAGCCAGAGGCAAAATAGAAAGTAACCAATAAAAGTCTTTTACACCCAAAAGAGTAGCAAATAAAAACATTTATTTTATTCATAATATATAAAATGACTCTAAAAAGAGCTAAAAGATAAATCCCTCTCAAATAGAATAACAAAAGACAATAAAACTAAGACAGGACAAACAAAATAACTAAAGTAAAATGGACAGAGCAAGCTTGAAGTCCAGCAGTATCCTGTTTTCATAGCAACAAAAGTCATGGCAAACAACTCTGACTTTAAGTTGCGCTAAATAAGAAACTAAATATATGATCACACACTTCAAACTATTTTTTTTT